GTTCCTTTTGTTGTTGGTGGCAATCTGAGCTCCTACTTGAAATGCAAGAGAGCTGTTCTCAGCACACCCAGTGCAAGTTTATTGCTGTTTTTCATATACAGAAAGCTTCATAAAAATTAGTTTCAGTACTACCACTGCCTTGGAAACTTGAATGTAATAGGTGATATAGGAAGCAGAGAGAGAGGAAGCTACAGGGCAAAAAAGCTGCAGGAAATATACTCAACGTAGGAAAACCCCCATGGCAAAGCACCTTGTCCCCATGTTGTTGAGGACAAAAGCCTATACGTCTTACTCATTCACATGGGGGGGGGGCGGTATCTAAGCAGCCCCCTTGCTAACAACCAATGGACTAGTATCAAAATGGAGACATGATGCTTTACCAGAGGGGTACTCCCCCATATTTAGGGCATGTGGCCTGGTATGGTTTGGGGGAGATCAGATTAAGGGTCTGTTTTTTTGTGGTCTGTTTTTTTGTGTGGGGATTACCTCCATGCCATGTTCTCACTTGTTTTTTGCACAAGGTCTCCCTTTAAAATTTATACAAGACCTGAAGGAGTAGGTATTCATTTTAGGGGGACTTCGTATAATGTTTATCTGTATTAATGAAAAAAAAACGAATACTACCTACTACTGAAAAAAAGATAAGAAACATCCCAAAAGGTAAATAAAATAAGGAAAACAGCAGCGACACAGCAAGAGAACTTGCCACTGACACAGACAAAAGACTGTTGGGTCTCCTTAAATTGCAGTGAATACAGGTGGGCTTATACTCCACTCACCCAAGCCACACAAACTGCAACTCACTGCAAAGTATCAGTAGCAAATATACAGCACACAATATAGTACTATGTATATAGCACTCAACTTTAGAACTGTACATAGCACAATACTGAAAACACACTACACTGGCCTGTCTTTCCATTAATCAAATGTCAGCTGTCCCTTACTCACACCAAATCAACCTTGTTGAGTGTGTGGGCAGCATCTATAGTGTGGACCAGCACTGGCCAAAGTCTTGCACCTTACCAGAGGTGAGATTCGTGACCTTAGCCAATGATGACACATACAATAAATTGTGGGACTTTCATCATTCAGAGGGAATCCCCACTGAATATCCCTAAAGTCTGAATCTTATCCAAACCATTAAACAGCAAATGTTCACACCAAATGTTCTGGGTTATGCCCCCCCCAGATTTTAGTTGTGCCCCCCCAGACCTCTTAGAATGAATTCACAAATTAATGAGACCTGATGGGGACAGTTGATGTAAGAGGGCACTCTGAGGGGGCAATTGATGGAAGGGGACACTCTGATGGGGACAGTTGATGTAAGGGGCACTCTGGTGAGGACACCTGATGTAAGGAGGAACTGTTATAGGAACTTTGATGTAGGGAGGAACTCTGAGAAGAACTCCTGATATAAGGAGGGACTCTGTTAGGGACACTGATATAGGGGGACACAGGTTCTGTTTAATCACCCTAAACTAATGACAGCATTCCCAGTTCTCTCCTGCACCACCTCTGCACTGCCTGTAAGATGTTGCTTCCAGGTTATGACTCTGTGGTACAAAAGTTTGCTGATGAAAAGGGAATACTGGGTCCATGTATCCCTGTCACACTACTGACATCATGCCCCCTGACTTTTTTACTGCACCCCCAGATCAGACAAGCTAAATCTGGCCCTCCTCAAGCATTACTTTCTTTTCTTACTCCCAGCAGCAGATGGATCTGTGGGGGAGTAAGCAAAGGTTAATAGGTGTTGGCGAAAGAGGTATTAAAACAAATATGTTGCTTTTCCATGCATGGGCAAATAATAGCTTTGCTTTAAAGATAACAATTCATTGTGATTTGCTGAAGAATCTTGCATGTACCATTTTGTGTCATTCATCCACTGTTTTATTTCTGTCTTTGTTTTAGCAGCTAGACTGACTTTAAAATCCAACTACTTTAGGTTTTCACATTTAATTGGAGTTCTTCTTTAACACCATAACATGCTTTTGCATTCCAAGCAGGAAGCAAACCATACAGCCTACTTCAGATTCATTGTAACATAGCCTGGAGTGTCCTATTATTTTTGTGGAGTGGGCTGATGACAAAGGCCTAGTAAATGGATGTTTTACAGAGTTGCTACTCCGTCTTCAGAATACAGAACTTTGTTAAAAGGATAAAGCTTTCTTCCTTTTGCCAATGAGTGCCTTTTTTTTTGTTTAATTGTATTGTTTTATAACTCCCATTGTTCATCCCTGAAAACATTTAGTATTAAAAATTTTACATCACTCTAATAAGAAATAGATTTCCTATAATAATGTATGAAATACAGAATTTGCTCTTGGATGCTCACCCTCAGTTTATACTAATATGATTTTCAAACGTTGTCATTAAATTGCCATTATTTTGCCATGATTTTGCAGTAACCTCTGTGCATAGTTACAATGACATCTTTAAAAAATTCACAAACAAAATCTTATTACTAACCTCATGTGAGGTTATCTTTTCTTCTGATTATCTGATTTGGACGAGCTTTTCATTTTGCATGTTTAACATTGGCTAATAATGTTGCTGTGTATATTTGTTTTGGTTCAAGACTTTTTGGCATTATAATTCTTACAAACTAATGCACTGTTTGACTGGGCAACTATATGGAAAATTAGATTTAATATTGATAAATGCAAAGATATGCACTTGGATGCTAAAAACATGCATGCATTATACATGCTAGGAGGTGTATAATTGGGAAAATGAATGGTGGATCTGTGTGTTGTGGTGGATCATAGACTTAATAATAGCATGAAATACTAAGCTGCAGTTTCTAAAACTAGTGAAGTCCTTTCTTGTATTAAAAAAGGTATAGACTCCAGAGAGAGAGAAATCATTTGCTCCTGTAAAATTTATTAGCAAGACCTCATCTGGAATATGCAGTTCAGTTTTTGGCACCAGTTCACAAAAAAGGATATCTGAAAACTGAAATGTGCAGAGAAGGCAGAGGCATAGCTGGAAGAGTGTGAGCCCCAATGCAAACATTGACCTGGGGCACCCCCACTACCAACCCTCACTTTCACGGCATGCAAAAATACTCCCACCACGTGCCAAGATACTCCAAGTGCCTTAAGAGTTTGGAGTCCCCAGACTACCCACTTATGTCAGAGTCTACAGGGTTCCCCTTTACAGCGAAAGGAGAAACGCTGTAGACACTGATGTAAAAGGGAACACTGTGGACTATGATGTAAAGGAGAACTCTGTGCAGTTTGATGTAGAGGAGAACTCTGAGGACTATGATGTACGGGGATGCTGTGGTGTAAAGGTAAACTCTGATGTAAGGAGAGTCTCTGGTCACCAGAGCCCTCCCTTAGACAAGAGTCCTCAGAGTTCCCCCTACATTCTCGTTTACATCTGACTCCACAGAGTTCTCCTTTGCACCACAGTCCACAGAGTTCCTTTTTACATTAGGCTCCTCAGAGTTCCACTTTACATCACAGTCCACAGAGTTTCTCCATACATCAAGGTCTCCAGAGTTCTCCTTTACATTAGGGTTCACAAAGTTCCCCCTTGCACTCTAAGGGAAAATCCTTAAAACTCTAATGTAAAGGGGAACTCTGAGGATACTGATTTAAGGGGGAATGCCAGAAACTCTGATGTGGAAGGAACTCCGGTGACCACAGACCACTTACATACAATACACTAAGGTAAGGGTGGTTACTGATATAAGGAGGAACCCTTATATCAGTGTCCAGCCTTATCTTAGTGTATCCACTCCCCCCTTACATCAGCGACCTGACTCCCCTCCCCATAGACTGGGGGACCTCTTGGCTGGAACTGTCATGTCATTCACACTGACCTCCGTAATTGCTCCCCGGGTTCAGGGCACTGAGGACAGGCTTTGCCTTGGATCCACCTCCAATTCCTAGTCCCAGGGCGACACTCCAATCTCCTTTATTGCATTCAGAGCTGCATTTTGGAAAAGGTTCCAAGCACCATGACGTAATGTTCTTACCCGAGCCCACTCTGAAACTAAGCCTGAGCACCACTCGCCTGGCTGTATATATATACACTATAAAAAATATAAAAAACAAAATAAGGTCAGCGCTAATCCAAAAAAATCAGAAAGTGAAAAATATGATGTGTAGCTGCATGCAATGGATACCGATATACCAAGATATACGAAGATTTTGTCATTTTATTATATTTTAAACAATCTCTACTGTTGGAGCATTCTCTTTTTTGGGGGAAATAATCAAAATTTTATGTGTTATATGATCAGAAGAATGTGGTAAAAGTGTGGACTCTGCTATCTGGTATGGGGTTTGTGCCATACTGGGCACTCCTGACCTCTGTTATTTGGGGTCCATGCTATCTGGTGAGCTAATATTTGGCACAAGGTGTTTGTGGTGGATACTTATTTTATAGATGAGTCTCACTTATTCTCCTACAGCTCCATATTCATTAATAGATCATTAAATGAATTTTTGTACATGCAAATAGTATTTGTACTACATTTTGACTTGGTTCAGCCTTTTTCAGTTCCTGTATAGAAGAGCCCATAGTGGGAGATGACGAAGCAGTGCATGGACTGCAGTGCAAGGAACATGCTGATAGTAAGAGAGAGAGCAGAGTGAAGGGAGCTGAATTTTTATAGTTATATGTTTTTGAATCCTAGTTTAGTACATATGATTTATACAGTATATACTGCATACTATTGCACACCTGGATTGGGGAAATTTATATCATTCTTCTTTGCAAATCCTCTCAAGCTCAGTCAGGCTGGCTGGGGACCAACATTGGACAGTCATTTTCAGGTGACTCTAGAGGTTTTCAATAGGGTTTGAGTCAGGGCTCTGGCTGGGCCACTCTAGGACATTCACAGATTTGTCGCTAAGCCATTGCTGTGTTGTCTTGGATGTTTGCTTAAGATCATTATCATGATGGAAGGTGAATCTTCAGCCCAGTCTGAGGTCCTGAGTGCTGTTGAACTGGTTTTCATTAACAATATTATTATTATTATACAGGCAGGGGCGGACTGACAACTCATGGGGCCCCCGGGCAATAGGGGATCATGGGACCCCTGTGTCCTTGCCCAAACTCAAAAAAGCCTATGAAAAAGGTACCAGGGGCATCTCATGGGGCCTCCTACTGACCCCGGGCCCTCGGGCAGTGCCCGAGTTTCCAAATGGACAGTCCGCCCCTGTATACAGGATTTATATAGTGGCAACAGTTTATGCAGCGCTTTACAACATAAGGGCGGAAAGGTCAATTACTATACAATTTAATACAGAAGGAATCAGGGGGCCCTGCTCATTAGAGCTTACAATCTAAGAGGGAGGGTCCAAAGATACAAAAAGTAATAACTGTGGGGGATTGGCTGATGGAGAAAATACATGTACAGTTCTTAGGTGAGGGCAGGATAGGCCTCTCCGAAGAGGTGTGCTTTCAGGGATCATCTAAACGTGGATAGAGTAGGAGATAGTTGGACACATTGCGGTAGGGAATTCCAGAGGCTCTGGAGAAGTCCTAGAGGTGAGCATGGGAGAAGGTAACAAGAAGGCTAGAGAGCAGGAGGTCTTGGGAGGAACAAAGAGAATGATTTGGTTAGTATTTTGAGACAAGGTTAGTGATATAGCTGGATATATTTGTACTTTGCTCCATTCAGCTTTCCCTCAACTCTGACCAGTCCCCCCAGTTCCTGCTGCTAAAAAACACCCCCACAGGATGATGCTGTGACCAGGGGCAGACTCACCATTGGAGCACTCGGGCACTGCCCGAGGGCCCAGGTCTGTAGGGGGCCCCCTGAAATGCCCCTGGTACCTTTTTAATAGGCTTTTTTGGGTGTGCTTTGAGTGTGGGCAAGGACACAGGGGCCCCATGATCCCCTATTGCCCGGGGGCCCCATGAGTTGTCAGTCCGCCCCTGGCTGCGACCACCATGCTTAACTGTTGGGATGGTATTGGGCAGGTGATAAGTGATGACTGATTTCTTTCAGGCATAATGTGTAGAACTGAGGCCAAACAGTTCAATCTTGGTTTCATCAGACCAGAGAATCCTGTTCCTCACAGCCTGAGAATCCTTTAGGTGCTTTTTTGTGGTTTCTTTAGGCAGTTCCTTTGAGCTCATGGCTTGTGTTCTGATACAGTATGCATTGTCAGCTGTGAGAGCCTTTTATAGAGTGGTGTGTGCCTTTCCAAATCATGTCCAATCAATTTTATTTATTACAGGTGGACTCCAATAAAGGTGTAGAAACATTTCAGTAATGATCAAGAGAAATGGGAGGCACTTGAGCTAAACTTCTAGTGTTGTTGTAAAGGGTCTGAATACTTATGAAAAATGTGATATTTCAGTTTTTTCTTTTTCATAAATACACAGGCATTTCTAAAATTCTGTTGTCGCTTTCTCATAACGGGATACTGAGTGCAGATTAATGAGAAAAAAAATAATTTACACAACTGAATGAATGCACTATATATATATATATATATATATATATATATATATATATATATAGTATATGTGTGTGTGTGTGTGTGTGTGTGTGTGTGTGTGTGCCCCAGTGTTTTTTTATATATGTTTGATGTAAGTTTTTTTGTTTTCCTATATATCTGTTATGGAAATTTATAATTTTTTCATTTGTACTTTGGTTAAGTAACTTACTTATTCATTATTATGGAGCATGTGTTTTGGATACTGAATATCTGAACAGTATATCTGAGGTCCTGAGGAATCAGATAGGTCTGCAAAATGCATAGACTAATTTGACATTACATTGTCAGGGTTATTTACTGTTAGAGCACTAAGGATGTGGAACTCCTTTCCTCAATCAGTGGTTTCTATGGGAAATGTTACTAATTTAAAAAAAATTTTTAGATGTTCATCTTATTGAGCACAATATACAGGGATATGGCAAGTTGTAGATACATAAATAAACACACTGGACTGGAGTCTTTATTCAACCTTACCAACTATAAAATTATAAAATCCCAAAAGCAATCTGCTTTTTCCTGGTTTCTTTTGGACCGCCTCATCATAAACTATTTGGCTATACCTTCCTGTTGCACACTAAGTTTTACTCCATAAAAGCCATTGTTTCCAAGCTGTACTGATGATATCAAGCGTGCCTGAACAGCTTTAGCCTTTAAAACCACTTTAAATTAGGCACACTTGTTTCTGATAAAAACTCTGTACAGCACCATGGAAAATATCTAGCATAGATAATTAATAATAATGATCAATTATGTTAGTGCTTTAAGCAACACACAGATATGTTTTTGCAAATGAGAACAAGTCTACAATATATTGCAGAGGAGAAAGCAGCTCAGTAAGTATCATGCTTATTTCATTTCTCCAGGTGTAGACAATGGTAAGGGCTTGGTGCTGGATTCATGTAAAGCTTCAATAATTATCCATTCTTGTGACAATCACCAGCAAGGATCAAAAGCTTATTTATAAAGAATATGGCCGGCTGAACAATTTCCATGTTTACCTTTTTTCAAACACAATATGCAGACTGTTTCATGGACTTTATGTATAAAAACAGGTTAAAAAGAACTTAAAAGAAGCATACTTAAAAAACACCAAACTGTATTTACAGATTTTTCATTTTGAATATTAGCATGTAGAAACTGCCATAATTTCTACAAACTGCATATCCCAAACTGGCACATTTGTTTAAAGTACAGTCTTTTCAGGGTGACAAACTGATTAGTAAAAGAAAACTGGGAACTTTTTCTTTTTTAACAAAACCTGTGAAGAGAAGAACTAAAAACTTTCCAAACAGCAAACAGAAAGTGAAGAACTTTGTAACAAAATGAAGAGTGACAGTGCAGGGACTGTGGAAAGTCAACGTTCTAGACACTGCTGATAGCTGTCAAAATGATAACTTCTCCTCTTTCTACATATAATACACCCTATGTGACACTTGACACTAGCATGTTCAAAAATTGCTATCCTTTCTTTTCTGGAGTATAGTCAATGCCCTATTTTATGAACTGGACATACATTCACAAAGTATACTAAAAACATTGTAAACTATACACAGCATTCAGAAACTGTTTTATAAATTGAGAGACCAAGTACTGCAAAAATGTTGTAAACTATAGTCTTGTACATTTATAAATAGGTCTCAGAATGCTGGTGTATTACCCTTGCAACTGCTATAGGGACTGGCCATGGGGGATGGAGGCTGGGAGGCTCCAGGGCATTGCCTTTTGTACTATGCCCAATCATTAAACCATGGGTTGCAGGAAAGAAAATCACTCAATTCCCCCATCAACACAGTCAGTGATGATGGAGGAACCCCTGCCATGGAGCCATTGTGTTCTCCTGGCAGGAGGGTGGAGGGAGCCATTGGGAGAAAAAGCCATTGGGAGAAAAAAGTGATAACTGCATCAACTTGGGTACTATCAGCCTGCCCATACATGGTTCGAATCTCGGTAGGTTCGTGTCCAGTTTTGCTTCTAAGGCTCAGGAGCTGCTGTGAGCTCATTGATATGAACAATATCTACAAACAGTTCTTTCAGGGTTCATTCCTAAATGCAGTGTAATAATATTACTACAATGTATTTTAGTTATATTGGCTAGTTATTCCTGATTAATCCTTTGTTATCCCTATATCACACCAAGTTAGTTCCAGACAGGGATGGACTGACCATTTGGAAACTCGGCACTGCCCAAGGGCCCGGGGTCAGTAGGGGGCCCCATGAGATGCCCCTGTGACGATCACAACGTCAGAACCCTGCCCTTCTCACCAAACTCGTGACCGAAGCACTAGCCAATCTAAAACCGCAATGTCATGTGCGTAACAATGCAACGCCCAGCTGCACCCTGCACAACAATTTTCCAGCTAATGGACCACAATCGATGTACCGGCAGCCTGAGCACAATTGTTACTGGGTCAGGTTAATTACGCAATTAACCCTTCACACTGCCGCCACCTCCTTTTTGTACAGAGAAAGAGGAAACTCGGCAATATCAGCAATAACACTTTGATGGTTAGATAATCATCTGTATACCACTGTCACCGCAGACAGGTTATACAGACGGTTAAACACACATAGTAGCGTTCTTCAGCAGCATGAATTCGTAAGTTGCATTAAGGAGCTTTAGAAACAGTTCAACACTTTCAGAAAGTAAGATTTATTACTAAAAGGTCAAAAGGGTGCAATAAAAATATTTACAGAAAAAAGATGTAACCAATATATATATATAAATACACAGAGAGCAATAACACAGCAAAAAGGTAACAGAAAGAAGTTTAGAGAGGTAGAGTACTTGCCAAAAGTCCTGGGTTAAGCAGATCAAGTTTCAGAGCAAAAGGGCACCGTCTCCCAAATTGGTTCTGATGTTCAAAGGGAGAATTCTTCAACTTCCACTCTTAGGCCTGACAGCCTATTTTGTAGTCCCCCAGCAGGGGGTGGCTCTGGAGCCAAGGACCAATGCCTCATTTGGGGAGGGGTGTCTAGGCAGAGACCCAAACTAGAACCAAAATCTCTTGTAGGTCATATTTTGGCTCATAACTTTTCCTAGGCACAAGTAACATTCCACCCGTGGGTAGATTAATATGCAGACGCATCTGAGGAACGGTTAGATATGAAACATGAAATACATACTTGAATGGTTTAAGAGATGTATTTTCTGCTTTCCTATATATTCCAGCCAAGGAGTGTGACATATCAAACTATTTGTCTGATCGTGAGCAATCTGAAGATATGCCTGGTTTTTATGTAAGTCTCTCATATTCCAAGATATGAGACATAGGGGGAAAATGGATTTTAAAAGTGGTATCTAGTTTATGACTCCCCTGGAATGTCTGAACTCAGGGGAAGGCTTGGTTTAGCCTTTTACGATGTGCCAGATTGCACAGTTTCTTAGACCCAGCTCAGAGTGGTGTTATAGCTTGGAGCTTCCTGCTGTGCTCTGGCCTGCCTGTGACACTTCCAACACACACACCCGACCACATGTCACTCTGGGTCACAGAGAGGGAGGGAGATGAGGAGAGGTACAGTTGCAAGAAAAAGTATGTGAACCCCTTGGGATTACGTGGAGTTTTGCATGAATTGGGCATAAAATGTGCTCTGAACGTCACCTAAGTCACAACAATAGAAGAACACAGTCTGCTAAACATAATACTACACAAAGATTAGATGTTGCCATGGTTTAATTGCACATAACATGTAAACATTCACAGTGCAGGGAGG